CATGGAAAAGTGGCTGCCAACAAAACTTCCTCTTTTCGTAGAGCAACAAAGCTTCTCCTTTCATCTGGAATGTCACAAAAATAGTCAAAGCCATCAAAGGCCATTATCCTCATTAATACCCCAATCTTCAACCCCCTCTAACTGGGGACTTCTAGATGAAGAGGCTAATGAACTTCAATTCGCAAAAGTAACCACTGCCTTAATTAGTAGTAACACAATGCTATAGAATAGCCCCTGTTTATTCAGACAAGGTCTTTAACAACATTAAAGGTTTAATGCTGTCATAAATTTTAATACAACAGCTTAAACACAAGTGAGTTAATCACTCTCAAAAGTAAATTTACTTCGCTGGGTAAAAAGTCCCTGACTTCATTAGTATTCTTACATTTATAAATTCCCTTTTGTCCTGTCTGAGGGTTCACGGTATTGGCATTCGCTTTAGCTGTAAAAATCAGTCATACTGATACATATTCATTAAGTGGCTGCTCCAAACAGATCGTTGGTGCTTGTCTCGGTTCTATCACAAAGGGAGTGAAGGCTTAAGCGGATCACAGCCTCACTGGGCATCACACTAGAAACTGAGGAGGTTGTATTAATGATTGCTAAGTTTTCACTCTTGTTCTAACTAAATGCAGTTCTATAATTATACATGTTTTGAAAAGCTCCAGGTGCTGAGGAGCGTGCCAGAGTAGTGTACCATATAGCCCTTCCACTCAGACACACTGAAAATCCAAGTTAACATATACATGCACCATCTTGGAAAAGGAGGCGCTGAGACAGCATCAGTCATCACCTTATTAGGGCTCATCTCCCAGCAGCTAGAGTCCCCAGGGGGAGCAGTTGCTTGGAAGAAAAGGATTGAGGTGAGTATTATAAACCAAATATCTGTAGAAGCCAGGCAAAGAGCATAAATAAATGGGCAGATTTGGGGGGGAACTGTGAAAAAATGGAGTACTGCTCCTTGGTTCCAATTAATTGTTGCCTTGTAGGAATGGGGGCTCTGGGTTACCTCATCTTCACGTTTTTCAAGAGAATGTCAAAAGCCTATAAAACCTGATTTTTAAATATTGAACTTGAATATTATAAAAACACTCTACAAGCCATTTTCAGCCTAGACATACCTGCAGGACACTAAATTTAAGACCTTTGAGGGAGAACACTGTACTGCCAAGGGAGGTAACGGAGAGGTGGGGAGGGCGTTGTGAGGAGGGTGTGGCAAGTCGGAGCCATGCAGAGAAAGAGGACAAAGGGACAGCAGTGACAGGTGAGGATGGTTCTGTGGGGATCCAGGAGAGGAAGCGAACTTGGAGGAGGAAGAGGCTAGAGCAGTTGTTCTAAACCTTTTTTGGGGATCGTGAGTACCATTTGAGACTCTGATAGGGGTGTCCAACCTTTTGGCATCTCTGGGCCACACTGGAAGAAGAAGCATTGTCTTGGGCCACACATCAAATACACAAAACACTAAGGAAACTTGATGAGCAAAATAAAAAAGTTTTAAGTAAATTTACAATTTTGTGTTGGGCCACATTCGTAGCCATCCTGGGCTGCATGTGGCCCACACGCCATGGGTAGGACACCCCTGCTTCCCTGGAAAAAGAAATGTATGTGTAGTAGGCAGGGTAATGGTCCCCCAAATATGTTCATGTCCACACCCCTTGCCCCCTCCCTGTGTTACCTTACATGACAAAAAGAGTTTTATACATATGATTAAGTAAGGACCTTGAGATGTGGAGATGAGTATGGATTATGTGATTCAGCCCAATCACATAACACTTAGAAATTGGAAAATCTTTCCCAGCCATGCTCAGAGAGATACCATGCTGCTAGCTTTAAAAATGGAGCAGAGGCCATGAACCAAGCAATGTAGGCAGCCTCTGAAAATGGGAAAAGGCACAGAAATGGACTAATTCTCCCCTAGAGCCTCCAGAAAGAATGCAGGCCTGTTCAAACTCTGATTCTTTGGCCCAGTGAGATGCATATTGGAGGTCTAGACTATAGAATTATAAGATCATACATCCGTGTTTTCTTAAGACACAAGTTTGTGTTCATTTTGTTACAGTGGCTTCTGAAAACCGATATATAGAAACTTTGGCAAAAACATTCATCGTCCTCCTGGAAGCTCATCCACAGACAGAGATAAAGGCTTCTTGTGCTAGAAAAGAGCTGAAGATACAAATGATCTAAGAGCTGAAACTGTGATGCTATTTCTACTTGGCATGTATGGAAAAATCAATGCCGACACCATAACACAATCAGCTCTAAAACCTCACTTCTACAGGGATGGATGCATTCCCCGAAGACTAATAATCCTTCACGTCTCACTTAAGTGAAACATGAGATGTTTGTCACTCACTTGACTACTCCTTGCTACAGAGAGATGCTTCTTCCCTTTCTCAAATTAGTTATTGCTAATAGCATTCTCTCCCCATCCCCAAGAAGGCGGCATTTTACACCTGCTGAGACTGACTCTGGTTTCTTCCCTTACCTTGAGCCAGACCTAAGTCATACGTGTTCTGTTACAGTATCATGTCTCTATCAAGATCTTACTGGGCATGATACGCCTGAACCTGGCCACATGCTGACGTACAACAGAAGACCAAGGTTATCAGGAATGCGAGCTACCTGACTCAAAGTTGTTTTTAGCCTTGGATCTCATTTCACCACTTCATCAAGTTTCATAATTCCTGTAATATTTTGAGATTTTTTTCAAGTACCGTTAGAATGTTCCTGGGTGACACCACCAGAGTTGTGGCAAATTAACTGTAGTTTAAAGGTTACCAGCCTTGTCTAAATACTAAATTTAAGAATTACAAACACAACTTGGCCTAACATGGCTCCCGATGTGCAACTTGACCCCAGATCCTGTGATTGCCGAACCTGGTATGTGGAATTTCTAGAATGCCGCTAGAACCTGCGAAAGTACAGCATGGAGGCTAAACCGGGGTGAGGGCGAGAGGTAGGGGGTACAAGAACAACAAGGTTTGTGGGGTCCTGCGGAGACTTACTTAGGTACAGAGGGACAGAGACCAGGTCTGTTTCTGCAAGAGGTGGCCAATCTGTTGGGAAAACAAGCCTGACTTAATGAGAAAGGCTGCCCCATAACCTTGTATCCGGGTCCTTTTCCAGACAGGCAGAGGAGGTCAGTAACCACCTAAATGTTACACAGACTGTTGTGTGTATGTGCACCTCTCTTCTCTGAAAAATGGTGTCACACATCTTTGAGAATCTGAATAAGACTATAATTTCTACCCCCAAAGGTAAGAGTTGCTTCCCTGTGTGTTTCCTCACAGGGAGGGGCTTTAATTAGATATTCTTGGTCTCCCTAGTCACGTGTGAATGACACCCTCCATGTAATCCTATTACATGTCTGACTTGCCCTCTAATGACAGTGATATTCCTATTCACCTTCCCCACCATTCGGGAGATAGAAAGTAGTTTTAAGTTTACCAAACTTCAGGCATTTTCGAGAAGGTCAATTGCTAATACCATCTTTCCCCCATCAGCCTTCCATACATAAGTAAGAATTTATGTAGTCCTGGCAGTGTGGCTCAGTTGGCTGGAGCATCATCCCAGGCACCAGAAGGTTGTGAGTTCAATCCTTGGCCAGGTCTCATAACTGTGTTGTGGATTCAATCCCCAGGGTGCAAATGGGAGATCAGAAATCAATGTTTCTCACATCTATGTTTCTCTCTCTCTCCCTCTCTCTAAAATCAATAAACATATTCTCAGGTGAGGATTTAAAAAAAGAATGAGAAAGAATTAGTTTTGTTTTTTATTTGTTGTTTTGGGGTTTTTTGTTTGTTTTTACTTTTTTTGAAATGTGCATGGGAATACAGTTGGCCTTATTCATGCTGAGAAAGGCAGTCACTGGTCTGATCGGGGGAGATAGGGTCACTGCCTCAAGTGGCTCTAGTCAGGCTAAAATAGCTTTATTACAATAAATCCTCAAATAGCAAGGAGAATGTCCTGATCATGAGAGAAATAACAAGGTTGAATCTTACCCCACCAGAGGTCAAAAGTAAGAATAAACAGACAAGAGATGGCAACTCGTGAAGAGAGTGATAAATTGTGCCCATAAATCCAACTGGATAGGGGACTATCTCATTCCGGGGTCCCCTCTAACCCTTTGGAACTCTGTGATCTAAATTTAGGACATTGGATATTTTAAAGCACAATTACATAGCACAATCTTCTCTGTAGTTGTTGATTCATTTAGACCCTGAAACCTTAGAAAAAAATTTCTAAAGGTCAGGCTCAGAAGCACAGAATGATCTTTCCACGGAGTCAGGGCTACAATTACTCTGTACACAAGGTCCTACAAAGACAGCTGACATAACTAGTGGCTGAATTCTTCCTCCTGTTTATTTCCAGCAGACATAGACAGCTGCAATGCCAGGCTCACAACAGAATGCCATGCCAACTTTGCTGCAGACAGCTTTTTACCCAGGCCCTTGCTGTCAACTCATGGCTGTCTCCAGCCTGGGGCCACTTCAGGGTCTCAGGACACCACTAGGATGGGCACAGAAGCCACACCTGCTATGCTACAGACAGACATCTGTAGGTTCAAATTCTGGCTGTTTATTTCAGTTGTGCAACATCAGGCAAATGCCTTCATGTCTCCCAGACTCAGGTTTCTCCTCCATAAAATGGGGCTATGAGGATGTGGTGAAGGCTATGCAATCTTATGCATAAAAAGCAACTGGCTGATGTCTATACCGTCATCACTATCATCACAGAGAAAAACCTAAACATCATTTCTCTTCCAAGGGCAGGATTATCTTTACTTCTCTCTAAGACTTAAGGCTGGTAATCTTCAAATGAAAGATGAGACAGTAGGTTATTTATATTTCTCTGAAACTCAGACTCAATAATACTCTTTCTAGGCCCCATTAAGCAGGTCCTTAGGCTGTAGGGAAAGCCAACAAACATCGGAACGCCTAGATTCTTGTGTGGGTGTGACAAGCACAAGGGGATGAACCCCAGGCACACCAAAGGCCCACCTTGGTTGAAGCCACACAGGTTCCTGGCCCCGGAAAGGGTGGTTTTGCGGACTCTCGTGAGCTGGCATTCCTGCTCTCCCCCGACATTCCGACTCGCTGGGCGCCACAGGCTCTGTCTCCTGTGAGAAGAAACAGCAAAAGCAGATGAGCTGTCAGCAGTCGTCAGTGTCACAGCGCTCTTCCCTGGCAGGCAGGTCCGGGCAGCGGAGCAGCAACACAGAGCTCGCTCTACCAAACGGCAGTGGGGGAGGGGGCCAAGGGGTGCCCTGAAATTTAAAAAGCCTGTCTCTTTCTGTCAGTTGCTGCAATATAACAGAAGAAAGAAAAATAAACGATAAAAAAACGAATGTTCAAAACATATGATATAACCATACCATAAAAATGTTACTATATTAAAAACAATGTTATAAAAACATATTTAATGACTAAGTCTAAAAATATAATTTCTAGAATATTTTTGGTATGGGGTCATTTTTGCAAAAACAAATATATGAATGAATGTTCACACATACACATACACATACAGAGCTTGGAATAATGTGAACCAAAATCTTAACAGTGAATGACTATAAGATGGCTTTTTTTTTTTATGGATGGGGGAAATTCACCTACAGTTCTTACAATGAAGATACATTATTCCTGCAATAAGAAAGATTTAAACTAATCTGAAATCATTTTTATAAATTCCAAATCCCAAACATGTTTGATCTCTTGATTGATCTCTTCCTTCTCCCCCTTGCCCCCTTCCCACCTCTTCACACACACACACACACACACACACACACCATTAGCTTATCCAAAGACATTGCTACATTGCTCGCCCCATGATGTAATCGACTAATTTACAAAATCCCATGATGCTAAACTCTCTAGAGAATACCATCAACACAACCCAGCTAAAAGGAGCGTAGATTCAAGACTAGGATACAGGCATCACAAATGAAAGACTGACATATGCTCAGCAGTTGGACCCCCCAGTCTCGGGCCACATCCCAATTTCACATGAAAGGGTTCTGTTTGTAGACATTAGTTCCCTAGACTTAGTAGCTGCTGTGCAAAATTCTACAGCTTCCCAAACACTGGCCAGCCATCAACAACAGTTTTCAGGTGAGATAAACTCTGCTTGCTACTTGCTGAGTAGGCCTCAGTTTTCTCATCTGTAAAATGGGATGATATGCCCACCTCACAGGTTGTGAAGCAAGACCTTATTCAAACCCTGTTCATTGCCTGCCAACCGGAGGCATACAGTCAGTAGATGGGACCTCTTGATGATGATATTAATCCTTTTATAAAATCCCCCTGAGGCTCAATCTTCTGAAACTAGTGTTAAGGATGATTTCAGCAAAAGAAAACCTATTTTTGTGATGGAATGTTTATTTCAGGTTTCTAGACAAATAATGACAATATTTTAAACATCACATTAGGAGCCTTAATATATGTAGGCCTAAAGAAACAGCCCATTTAATTTGTAAAGTGTTTTAACAAAAAATTACCATTTTGTTAAAACTTCAGCCTTTTAGGAAAGAGGAGTGCCTTTTGGTTGTTGTTTTTTTGTTTAAATTTTCAAAGACAGTATCTGATCTAATCCTTTGGACCCACAATAGGTTGAGAAGTGCCAGAGGCCACAAACTCCTGGACCCCCGCCCCCCAGGTTTTCCCATATATTTCAGAGAATAACAAGAGGGGATCTGGAGCAAGTGCTGCCTTCATCTGCTCAAGTCAGAGACCTCAGCGCGGGGCAGAAAGAGGACATTTCCCCACCATGGGTGACTGAGGAGTGTTTGGGGACCGCTGGCGATCAAGTCCCTGATTTGAGTGGAGGAAAACATGGCATCGGCAGCTATGCCGCTTCTGCCCACCTAGAACTGGAAACTTAAGAGATGGTGTGGAGACTTGCAGAAGAAGTAAGGAGCTCGGAATAAGTCATCACGAACACTAACCAACAGAGTAGACCCTGATGCAAAAATCCAGGCTTCACTGTAATGCTGCCCTTTGCAGGGACAGAATGTTTGGTTAAACCTCCAAAGTGCTGTCTCCAAGCCCCACTGAGATGAAAACCCAAGTCCAGCCTCTCCCAGAAAATGCCAAATTGGTTCTTCCTTCCAAAGCTCCTATGAATTTCAAAGCTCTTGCATTCATTAAAAAATAAATAAGTAAATATTTTAAGTTTAATCCCTTCCTCTCCTTATCTCTTCATGGACTGTTCCTGTTCAATTAATAGCCCCAGCAAAGCTCACATAGAAACCAGTGAGCCTTCACTTGATGCTAACTCGGAGGCTACGCATCTCCCAGCTGAGACCCCAGACAGCAAGGAGCCAAGACAAAACCTCCCTTTCGTGCCCTCAGTGAACCCTGATTCACAGAAACCATGCAAGGTAGGAAATGATTATGCTATTTTGAGTTTTAGGGTTATTTGTTACACGGCTATAGTTAACTAACCTTTCCTATATTCTAAAATATCATCAATAATAAAAACCACCATCATTTTGATTAAATAATGGCGTTTAATTAAAAAATAATGCCACATTAAATGCATTCATCAATTTTAAGGTGTAGTCAGCTATGAGAAAAGTGACAATATAGAAATATGTGTTTTCACATCAAGAAACCACATGGCATGCCCCGTGGAGCCAGCATGGTGCCGTGAGGGACACAGAAAGCGTCTTACTGAGGAGACATGCACAAAAAAGCAGCTTCAGGAGTGTAACCTGGAAGACTCAACAACCTCAAAGAAAACAGGGTGGGGAACCACAGTCCTTCTTTACCCTGGTTGTAAAAATAATTTTATGCTTTCCCTCAAAGAAAGAAAGCAAACAGTAAGGGAATACCGTACTTATCGAATTAATAGAACAGTAGCCTTCAAGGGTATTGTGTTGCCAGTTACCTTTATAAGGATGTAAAGGAAAAATACAAAATGAGAACAATAATAATCATATTCACCTGTTTCTATAACAGTGATTTAGGCAGATACCTGAGAAAGCAGGGCCCTCCCTCTTGGTGAGCTCACATCTCTTCCCCAGTTGGGCTCCGCCACCTGGCCAGTGACCAGGTGGGCTAGGACTGCCAAAGACAGTCCTTGCGGTACACAGTGTGCTTGCAGATGAGTGAGAGTTAACATGTTCTCCCTACCTCCCACCCCAAGGTGACAACATCTGCACAAGACATAAAGAAAGTATTTCATTACCTTTGCCCATTTAAGCTTCATTACATCTTTGTTCAGAATCTGCTGTAACAGGAAGCTCATCAAAAATTCTAGAATAGTAAAGCAGAGTGTTGATCTTGAAATAATTAAGATATATTTTTACTTTAAAAAAGTCATCTATAACATACCAAGGGGGTAGATAGTTAACAGGGGTTATATAATGAATAAGACATCCCTGCCCTTGAAGGACTTTTAAAGTCCTTTGCTTGACAGAGACTACAGTGTAAGAGGAAGACTCAGAGTCACTTCTGTATTAGTGTGTTTATCAAATGGACAGATCCCAGCTGATCAAGGGGAACTGGGAAAGGAGAAGCCAAGACCCTCTCCTCCTGCCCCCTGGCCGGATGAGCCTGGGTGGGCACCTGTAAGAGAAGTCATCCTACATCTTTCCCTGCTCCCAGCCATTCTCCTTTACCCTTTGCCCCAGTTCCAGTGTGCCCCACCCCCAGCCTCAGTGATTTGTTGGTTCCCTGCTACATGCAGGAGCAATCAGACTGACTAAGACAGGAGATACTTCATGAGAAAGCTGTCCACAAAGCAAATGTTATTGGGTTATTGTTTGATTCAAAAGCAGAGGCTAGGATAGTATACATGATGAAAAGAGAGAAGCTTTCTGTCTGTTATGCTGAGAGGCTCAAAACCCCCAGCTGAGCTAAGGACAAATTAGCTTCCCCTGAGCAGAAATGGTGAAATATATTTTGTCCTTGTTAGGATTTCAGTGAGTTCAGCTTTCCCTTGTAGAACTTGAGAGAGTCTAGTTTTGATGCAACTGTGTGGCCACTGCCTTCAGGCCCTTTTAAATTCCCCCATTTATACAAATGCAAGACCCAGAGAAAGAAAATAATTTTCCATCTTAATCCTGGTCCTGGACCATCTTCTCCAGCTTGCCCAAATCAGAATGCTACCTGGGCCTCAAGGACAAATGCATCCTTAAAGTTTTTCTTCCAAAATGTGATCAACCAAAACATTAACTTTTTTCATCTCATCTTGAGCCTTATCTGTGTTCATTTTATTCCAAAACTGATAAAATCTTTTCTTCAGCTGCTGACTTAAAATTTTAATTAAATATTTTTATAACTAATCACTCCACTGCTAATAATAATACCTTGCATTTATGAGAGCATGTTTCTTCCCAAGAGCTTCAATTACTACATGATTAATGCATCTGATGTCTCCATAGTTTAGAAAATTACATATATATGCAGCTCTCAGAACAAGGGTAAATCTTATAAATCTATTCATTCCTACATCACGCTAGTGCTTTTTTTCCCCTTAAATCTGCATTTCTGTAAAAGTGACTTAAAGTTTTTTGAATCTGGGAATCTTGAAGGCTTTTACCCCTGATTAAAATAACTATTGGATTACTGTATCCATTTAATAATTGTAAAAAAGGAGGCCCTGGGAAAGCTGAGTTAAATTTCTGTTTTTAAATTGTGTGTCTGATTATTACAGACATACCCTGAAATATTGCAGGTTCAGTTCCAAACCACTGCAATAAAGCAATCATAACCTGTTTGCTGGTGGAAGGTCCTGCCTTCAATTTGCAAAAAAGGTACAACATCTGCAAAGCACAATAAAGCTAAGCACAATATAATAAGTCATGCCTGTATTTAAAATGCTCTGGTCCTTTAGGAAAAGGAAACCAAGAGAAATGTTTCTTCAGACCTATTTTTTAAATGCTGTCTGCCTACCTGAAGTCACTATTTCAACACAGAAATAAAATCCATACATATCTACAAATAGGATCTCCTATGATCCTATTTCCTTATCAGTGATGCTGAGAGATCCCCCCATTTACTGCTTACAGTTGTAAGCATTTCTAGTGGAAAATAGACTTTCAAATTGTGGTGTTTATCTTTTCTACTTTCCAAATCAAATAACATCCCCTGACTGCCTGATTAATACCAGGGACTAAAC